TCCGAGTCTTGACCGATAATGGAAAATGTCTGAGTAGCACGAAAAATAATAAACAAGATTGACGACGTCGAATCAATATACTCGAAATTCTTTAGCAATCACTTTTCGCCACAATTTTATTTTTAGTCAGCGGAAACCCAGCTGTAACCATGATAAATATAGTTTTCTTATTGCTTATAGAATCTGAGAAACAGACTTAATTACAAAAATTGAACATTGAACAAGGAATCATAAAAATGATGTCAAGGACAACTGAACACTGCAAGACAATATTTACACCATGTAATCATTCGAAACACCAAATATAGTTAACCTACTGCTTGTGGTATCTTATAAACGGACATAACCACAAAAACATTGACCAGTGAACAATAAAAATGAGGTCAAGATTAGATGAATCATGCTAGACAGACACGTAAACTAAACAATCATACCAAACACCAAATATAGATGACCTATTGCATATCTAAGAAATAAACCACACCACAATAACTCTACACTGTTCAATGAACCATAAACAAATTGGTGAAGGTCAGATGAAAACTGCCAGACAGACATGTATACCTTGCAATCATAGCACCATATACCAAATAAAGCTGGTCTATTGTTTATAGTATCTAATAAAACAGACAAAACCACAAAAACTAAACATTGACAAATGAACCATGAAAATGTGGTCAAGGTCAGATGAAACCTGGCGCTTTCGGACACATACACCTTACAAGCATTCCATACACGAAATAAAGTTGACATATTGCTTACAGTATTTCAGATACGGATTTGACCACGAAAAAGAAAAGATATTTAAACACCGTGCACTCTGAGAAGTTAAAATAGAAACATAGAATAAACTCAACTTTGCATCGAATCCAAAATGATTTGGTTATTTGGCAGTACAATTTGTGACATTTAAGATATAAACGGATCTTATTTTCGTACAACGAAAATATATGTATGAATATTTAAATAGTATGTGTGTTAAATATTACCATGTTTGAATAAAAATGTTATAAGAGCGCAGTAATTCATTGCAAAGCAATCAAGATTTGGATTTTGACCAGAAGACTTAACATATAATCCTACCATAGCGAAGAAGATTACAAATATAGATATTGTATTGTTCAAAAGTGAAGAAGATTCAATATATTTGGATAGAGGAGAAGACACAGTGCAAGAAAAAGAGTAAAAAAGGTACATTTCTTCTCACTCTTATTTTTTTCAAAAAAGTTGTCGATTGATTGGAAATTGATATTACACGATAAAGAAATTTTGGGGTGTAAAATATAATATTGCCTCCTTTGAATGAAGGCGACAGTAGTAAATCGGATAGCTATATAATCATATATGCAAATAATCACATATATATAAAAAACGAAAGCATCTGTACACAAGAAAGATTGCTTAATGTATATATATATTTGATTTAAAAGTATATTAATTCTTAGATGAAAAGATATGAAAATGAATAAATTGTATATCGGGAAGATATTAAACCTGTTGTGCATTTAATATGATGATTTTATTTACAGCCACTGGGTGGAAGCTACTGATGGAGGTTTCCTCCCCGAGGGTATCACCAGCCCAGTGGTCAGCAATTCTGTGTTGACATGAAATATCTTTGATATGGTCATAGTTATAAAGTGACTGTTTACAAAACTTTTTTTATCAAAATACTAAGTATTGTCTATTCCAGGAATAGATAACCGTAGCTGTATTTGGCAAAACCTTTTTGAAGTTTCGGTTCTCAATGCTCTTTTTTCAACTCTGTACTGGCATGAATTAGCTTTTTTAACTTTTTTATTCGAGCGTTACTGATGGGGTTTTTATAGACTAAACGCGCGTCTGGTGTATACAATTTAAAACCTAGTATCTATGATGAGTTTATTTACATGACGACGCTTACCAAGTGTTGAGTTTTTAACCAAAGAGAAATTTAATACAGCAAAAATACAGACCAAAATTCAGATAAATCTACACATTTACTCAACATGACTTACATTGTCATTCAACAACATTTGAGTGTTATTATCCTTCAATTTTCGCATTTTTTGCTTCTATTTTGTGTGAAATATATAATTGCTAGAGAAAACTGTACGTAAGAAAAGAAAAGAAGATTTACAAATACAAGAACATAATAAAAATCGACCATCGACTCCTTCAAGGAGGTAAATCTCTTTATTGAAGTAAAACCATACAGGGTTAAATTCCGGTTATTCATGCGATCAAGTACATTATGTCTAGACTTGTTTATACATCTTTTATGTGCTTATGTTGGCATTTAGTAATCAGATGTACCAATTCAATTACGTCATCATTGATTTATATTTACTTTTTCCAAACAAACTGTAAAGGGTTGCAGCCAAATTGTCTCTGCATAGTTTGGATTTTAGATGATAATGTGTACCCCATTTTGCGTATTTGGCAATAATCGTGCCATTACCGTAACGATTGATGTTTGGCGGCAAAATGAGAAAAAATGTATTTTTTAATATTTTGTTACCAGTGACGGACAAATCTGGATTGCCATGCTTTGTCAGCACTAGTTAGTTTATCAATGTCTTTTAGTACGGACATACATTTGTTGCAAGGACTAATTATTAAATGTAAAAATTAATGTTTAAAGTCAATGAAAATGTAATAATACATATCGCAAAGTTAAGCTTTGCCTACAAAATTCAGCCTTTTAGTTAGCATGCATTAAACTCATACAGTAAAAAAGTCTTGATTTTTTTGCATACGGTAACTTGCTAAAAAACATAAATGGTTAGAGAAAATATTGTGAAAACATGGAAATTTTTTTTACATTTTCCTTCTGTGCGTCCCTTTGAGACAGTTTTATTATTTAAAACCGATGTTTTATATGTCTTAAATGAGATTGATATCTAAAGTCGCCTACTGTACACCACGAACTTGATATTTATGACTAAAAATAGTTTTGAATAGTTTGTGTGATGGCCAAATTTGAGTAAGCTATATTTTCATTAGATAGCAGTAAAACAACAGTAAATCAAGTGAATTGCACCATATTATTGAATAACAAAACAGTGTATGCCAATACATTGACGAACACAAAAACTATGTGATAAGGCTTCATAATTTGAAATTTGCAATAGAAAGATAGATGTTAACAGTTAACAGCAAGATACTCTATAAATAGGTGATCGTCAAGCATATGTGGATTGACCATAAAAGATCATGCTCCTACATGGTGGTACTTTTTTTTACCAATTTTAGTGTTGTCTTTTCCATTCATCTGCAATGATCCAAAGGAAAATCAAATGATGGATAACTGTTCTGAAAAGAACATCTTTTAGGTATTCTGCAAGTGAATTTGGATGAAACCTGGTCACAATCTTCATTTGTTTGTGAAAGATAATTACTACTGTAGCTTAGGATTTGAACAATGTATATTTTTCGACGGGTGCTACAAGTGGAGCAGGATCTGCTTACCATTCCGGAGCACCTGCGATCACTCCCAGTTGTTGGTGCGGTTTGTTTTGCCTTGTCTTTGGTTTTCTTTGTTATTTTTTGTGTTTTGTGTAGTGTTGTTTGTCTGTTTATCTTTTCCTTTTTAGTGATGGCGATGTCAGTTTATTTTAGACTAATGAGTTTGAATGTCACTTTGGTATCTTTCGCTTTTCTTTTTCTAGATGAGTGTCGTAGGCTCCAGAGAGCTTCTCCTTTTTATAATGTCCATACAGCTGTTGAAAAATGTTTGACAAACAACGAAGGCTAATGAGTTTATAAGATCCAGCTTTATAATTAGCTACCGACCCCTGATTTACGTTGTTATATATTTGATTCTTACATAGTTGTTGCGAGCGTTGTTTAGAACATCACAGGGTTGATTCGGTATAGTCATATACCACATAGCTATAGTAGATGTCTCCTTTACATCTCAAAGACTTTTCTATTTAAAAAATGGTCACTCTCAAACACTGTAAGAATTGCCGTATGTTAAAGTTTGAAATTAAAAAAGATCAGAACAAACCTGTTTTGTCCACATAAATGGTGATTTCATGCAAGCACTTTCTCCTGAGATTGACCCGGTAGAGGGAAAATACCTTCCAAGTACTTTATTTAGTGAGATAAAGCCCGAAGCTTTCAAACATTAGGGAGATTTGACAAAACTTTTGCTAAAGAATAATAACGCCATTGTCATAGATCAGAAAATTAATCCCGGGTTTTCAACAACGACGTTCAAAGGTCTTAAGTGTTCAGACCCTAGTATAAAACTACATGACTCATCAAAAACACTTTGGCAGAACTTGCTAACCAGTCTTAGGAAAGGTATTCGTGAAAATCCTTCAGCGAGCACAGAAAGAATAAATCTATTTCTGGAAAAATATCTAGCTTTTTTACAAACTTTGGATAACACGAACAAAGATATTCTTACTGATGATTCCGGTCAAATCCCACCAATTCCAGATCCAAACAACGAAACCATTTCGAAGATTATGTCTTCATCATATGAAAATCAAGCACAATCCCTCCCGTTAGGGGTTAAGTATCATACCATCATAAAATATATGAGAAAAACAAAACCCGTATCATGCCAACATCTTTTTTTAGATTTTATGGGTTTTTTTTTTTGTTCCTGCAGAAGGTGTAAAAATAAACAAACACCTGAATTGCATTTGATACTTTCCACTCAATTACACACTTTAGCTCACCTAAAATTGTGTGTATATCTATTGCCTGTCTATTGTCCATGTCGATCAAGGACAATCAATACAATACAATACAGTTCTTACCTGAGAGGGAGCATCTCAAAGATGTATCCCAACTTAGCTTATTTTTATACCTTCTGCAGGAACGAAAAAAAATGCCCATCAAAATTCAAAAAAGATTTTATCTTTCTGAAACACAAAATGCATTTAACTTTTATATATCTAGTGCATGCCACGCATTAAAATTTTACCAACTACACAGGTTAGTCTGTACTCAGAGTATTTTTTTATGTGTAAACACAGCCATGTTTGTCAATTTATTATGATGAACCTTAAGTTACATTGTGCACACATATATTAATCATTGGTTAACATCAAATTAAATGCTTTACTACAGGTGATATGGTAGTTTGTGTTTAATTAATGTGTGAGTGATACATTTTGAACAGGTAATTTCAATGTTGGTAGTGTATGATTTGTTATCGTTTGCATGCGCGGATACATTTAAGTTAATTACGCGGTGTATCTTTTTTTTTTAATGTTGAGAAAAATTCGCGGATACATAATTTAAATACATGTTATAAGTTGGGTAATAGAAGGAAGTAAACCATTAATAAACGATGTTTAATTTTGAATCAAATGCACGCATTGTACCGGTGTTTAGTTGTGTTTTTGTATTCAATTTCAATTGTTTCAATGCATTAAAATGTATTTACGTTTATTTTAAGAGTAATTTGTGTGTAAAAATATATTGGTATGATAATTTAATTAAATTTTGAATATAGCTCTTTCAAACCTTGATGTATATATCTGTTGTCTGCTCTATGGTCGGGTTGTTGTCTCTTTGACACATTCCCCATTTCCATTCTCAATTTTATTAATCTGTTTTTATAATTATAATAGTTTATAACAATGACAAGAGGTAGAGGAAGGCGTCACCGACAGGTCTAGGTTTGAAGTCTGGAAAAAATGCCACAAAGGGTAAGGAGGACTCCTCGGGAAGCAACACAGCAGCTACAACCAGTTGCTAGAAATTTGAGAAGGCGTCCTCCTATTGATGTAGATGAAGCACCTATAAAAAGGAGACGGCGGGGTGATCATCAGTCTCAATACCCTGAATTAAACAATCAGGTGGATGAGCCTCAATTAGCTGCCTTAGATGAGGTTAATGACGTTTTTGATGAACCACTAATGTAACCTGGTTTCAATGAGGTTGATATATTCATAAGTCAAAAGCTTAAGAATAAAATTTTGAATTTTGAGTATAATGATTTGTCCCTTATGCATCGTTACAATTTCAATAGTCAAACAAATAATGAAAACACCATTGGCCTTAATGACGGTATGTTGGTTATACAAAAAAAAGTTTTAAAAAAATTCATACTATAAATTTCGTTGAAGATTGGACTGATTCGTGTATTACTTATGCCCAGGCCCTTTTGAAAGGTACCCTGGAAAGGCAAGTGAGCGTTTTTCATATGTCCATAATAAGGGATGCAGCGGCTGACCATCCTGTTGAAAAATGGTATACCTATGACCAACAATTCTGTTTGAGGGTATCAATGTATCACATAATTGCCAATTTAGGAATGGATGTTTTAAATATGATTTTTATCATCCTGCTTTAAGATGTCGAAAAATTGGACAATGAAGTTCATACTGTTACATCTAGATTTAGGAGGAATAACAATGCACCTTTGCTAAACAACTCGTCTAATAGACAAACCCCAAAAAGAGGTTTTAATCGAAAATAACATATTGTCAGAACTACATCCAGACCAGTTTAATATTTGGGCTCCATGCACATCCCCGGTTAATGTAAATGAACTCTCTAAGCTTCTGGCATTATATCCTGGTAATCGAAGTGCTGTGGAATTTTTGAAGGCATTTGGATATGGTTTTAAAAATCATAGACGTTTATGTGAATATAGGAATTGTCTGTCCATATAGATTTAAAACAAAATAGAATATTGAGATATCATAAGGTCGAATGGCAGGCCTATTCAAGCATAAGCCTACTGTGGATTCATTATTATTTGTGGTGTACCAATTTTCGTTGATTTCGTGGGTATAGGTAAACCACGAATTTAAAGGTTCGACGAAGTATAAACTTCTAAAGGCTTGAATGTAGACTTTGGCAAAACCACGAAATCAAATGTCCACGAAAATACTATATTTCCTCCATCCACGAAATGTGGTACCAACGAAAATAAATGAATCCACAGTATATCCAATCTTCTGTGCTATTCTATTGGGGTAGTTCCTAAGAAAACTAGCGGACTTAGACTGATAACTCATTTGTCTTACCCACCGAATGAAAGTGTCAATGATTTCTGTGATACTCAGTTTACCGAGGTGTATTCATCATTTGACAATGCAGTCAAAATTGTAAAAACAAAAATGGAAAATCAGCTTTCATGGCAAATATGGATATCAAATTAGGATTTCCTTTATTAAAACGTTTATAGGGTGATTTCAACGAGCTGAATGGCAACTAATATTTACAAAAACATTGCCCATGGGATGTTCTATTTGTTGTGCTACGTTCGGGAACTTTTCAGTCTTTTTGCATTGATCAACTAAATATAAATTGCATTCTGAAAATTAAGATCATTTAGATTATCTTGATGATTTTTTATTTGTTGGAGAAGCTCATAGATGACTGTCTCTTTCTTATGTTTGCATTTTCAAATGTTTGTTCAAGCGTAGAGGTTCCATGAAATAAATGGGGTATTGGAAAAACGAAAAGTTACTCTTAATGAAATGGAATCTTTATCAGGCTCATTGGCTTTTTGTGCAAGGGCTCTTCCTTCGGGGTATTTATGAGGCGTATATATGGTTCTTTTAAATATACTAAAGAAACCTCATCATTTTATAAGATTGACCTAAGGAATTCGAGATGATCTGCAAATGTGGCAGTATTTTCTTAAAGAATTTAATGGATATACATATACAAAAGCTGGAAAAAATAAAATAACAAAAATACCGAACTCCGAGGAAAATTCTAAACGGAAAGTCCCTAAGCAAATGGCAAAATCAAAAGCTCAAACACGTCAACGCATGGATAACAACGGTCATATTCCTGAATTTGGTACATGCATTTTCTAATGTAAAACATGATGGATTAAATCTGGTTTTATAGCTAGCTAAACCTCTCAATTTTATGACAGTCGCATAAAATTCCATTATATTGACAATGATGTGTGAACAAAACAAACAAACATCATAGGTAAAAATGTCAAAAATAGGGATACAGCAGTCAATATTGTGTTATAATCTTTATCACTATAAAACAAGCAAATGGAAATGATGGTCCTCTCTTCTGCCATATTAATGGGAAACCATTGACAAGATTTCAGTTCCAGACTGTTTTAAACAAGGGACTCCAGTTTTTGAGTTTAAACATATCAAAATTCAATGCGTTTTCGTTTCGAATAGGAGCAGCGACATCATCCCTTATGTCTGGTAAATATGAAAAACAGATAAAAACCGTGGGTAGCTGGATGCCGTCGTCATTCCAGCGCTACATTATAATTCCTAATATTTAATTTTTGTTAAATTAATAACTGACATTTGGATCATTGGTTCATCTTTGATAAAAAGCGCATCTGAACACACACAAACTAGTGTAATTGACATTGATCTGAGTCTGGATAAACTTGGATGCTCTATTGTTTTGATAGGTCATCCTGGAATGTTATGGCATATGTTTCCTTTAATTATATCCACATTGTTGATTTGGCAATAGACCCGTCTTATGCCCGTTTGAAAAGAAGATTAGATCTAACATATATAAAACTGGGGACATGGCATGTTGATTTTGATGATATGCATTCAATTGTTTTCGCCGAAGATGCCTTCATCTGTCATATTTTGGCTGTTCATTAAATATTCAAACATTTTTATATCCAGATGAACTTTTAAACATTTATCTAAAGATGAAAGCTATCATGTACTGACTCATGGCGTTGAAATCTTTAGTTGTATTTTTAGTTGAATAAATTAATCAGTTCTTAAATACATGCATTTAGTTGAACAGTTCTGTTATAGAACACTTTTGTTGTTGAGTTGTAAATAAACTCATCATAGATACTAAGATTGAAATTTTGTATTTGCGCCAGATACGCATATAAATGCATAGTTGAATAGTTGAATAAATGTTGAATAGTACACTTTGTTCATAGTTGTTTTGTTGTATAGATTAGATGATATACTCCGTTGAACTGATATGGTTAAGTTGAAAACCTATTAAATTTCAGAATTTGTTTTGTGTGATATAATTTTGATCATGGATTGATAGATTTTGTTTGGCGATGCTATCAAATAATGTTTATGAGCATTTGCCTGATTAATCAGAGTTGACGTCTGGTAGCCCAATTGCCATTTTGAGAAATCATATGCTGGTTGTCCTTCAATCTTTCGACATTAATGAGACATTGTCAAAAATTGCCAAAATTCAAACTTACTATTTGTTGTTTTTTATTATGATTATTGGTCTTACAAATTGTCAAATCGTCGGAAATATTACGAGTGATTTCAATCAATTTTTGGTTATCTATTATACATGTATATCGAATCGCTAAATTTACATCTGTTGGTTTTTTTGGAATATTTAATAATCTTAGAACTATATTCTTTTTCCGTGCTGTTGAAACAAATTATTATTTATTATTATTATTAAGAAATTCAGAATCGAGTTATTTCAACAAATGCCTTTGTTCAAAATTATAAATGATTTATCAATACATTAAACTGCAAAAAAACATCATAAAATAGGAAAAAATAAATGCAAACATCATTTATAACTCACGGAAATTTTGTCATCTTCTGTGCCGGAAAATGCCTGTACCAAGTCAGGAGTATGGTAGTTGCTTTTCACTTGTTCCGTTAATTGATAGAATTTGATATTGTCGGTTTTTATTGACTTCCCTTTTTGGATTTGCCTTAAAGTTAGTTATTTTTGTTTTTAGGAATTTTCTTTTGTTATAGAAACACGTGTAATATCCTTATCCATGAAGTACCCTGGAAATATAGCTTTATCCCGTTACCCTTAACCAGGAAACAAAACTGTCCTATAATATTTCATTATTTGTAAACGGAGAATTCTTTTAAAGTTTGTAATTAATGTAAAAGTAGACAACAGCAACATATTTTTCTAAAACGGAAAAGTATTTACTCTTTATCTACATTATGTTAATATTGAATGCACAGCATTTGAATAGAAAACAAAATACATATTTCAACACAAACATTCACATCAAAGATTAAATCATCTATATAATAAATATTTATAGATAAGTTAAACCCAAATGTAATCTTTCCTTCAGCAATCTAGAAGTTTTGAAGTTCGAAACTAATTTTATTTTTGTATCATTAAATTGGAAGAAATAGTTGTACATCCAAAAACAAAGTTCTGATGCGTATATACAAGAATAAATCTGTCTGTCCGTCGGCTTATATACCGGTGTGCATTGTAAGTACAGCTTTCCCTAAACGGCTGGGCAGGTATTTGATGAGAATTTCTACAGTTGTATAACACTATCTGATGGTGTGCAGAAAGGATTATCAAATTGATAAAACATGTTAAACATGCGAAAATGAAATTACTTTAATATACACATAGTAATGTTCGGTAGGGTATCCGTTTTGGGTTCACTCACTCACAGTTCGTCTTGATCGAAAAGTACGGAGCCCCGCTAGGGACATGCAAAGAAAAATATATATACTGTGCGCACAAAATAATATATTGTGCGCACAATATAATATTTTCAAGGTTTATTGGTCAATGCTAGATATCTCAGATTTGGTCTGTTTTTTCAAGTACGATAGTAAAGGTAAAGTAAAACTGAATTTTATGTATAAAATAATTATATGGCGCGTACGTCCTATAAGGTTTGTTTCTGAGATACTTTTAGCTATTGGTTAACCAAATTTGTTGTTCGCAATGATTGTATGGCCTACATGGCTGTATGAAAGGGTTTATCTCACCTTGACATCAGTACATTGAACAATAAATCTTACTGTAACATAATGTTAATTCAATGAAGTGCTTGGGGTATAAACTTTCTTTTTTTTTCATTCAACATAAATTCAATTATGAACACAACAACACAAGAACAGGCGAGACGTTTTGGTGTGTCCACTCTTGTTTTTGTTTTCAGTATATCTATGCAGACTTATATACATGCACGAGTAGTCAATTGGATGTGTATTGATTGGTAATTATACTAGATTAGGGAACATGAACATAAACTAGCTTCCAGTACTCGAACAGCGATACTTTGGTTTTTTTTTTAATTATAAGTTTTGTGTCTTTTCTTCATTTGATGAATAAATCCATTTTCAACTATTCTTTTTTTTTCAGTTTTGTGGATGATTGCTTGTTCATAAACATGTTTAAACTATGACATTTTATGTTTGCCTGTTTCAAGTCAGGAGTCCGTAATTTAAGGCTTGCATCGATACCCGTCTGTCAAATTTGTTTTCGTTGATTGTTTCTTTGTATGGTGGATATGAAGTTGTCTCATTGACAATCGCACCGATATCGATCAATCGCGACATAAGTATTTGAATAAATGATGCACCAAAACGGACCATATTTGGAAAAAAATGAATCATAATTGTTTCGTTTATTTTCAAAATATTCCACTGAGGTATACATTTTCATTGACTATTCCTAAATTGCTTTGTAACATTTCAGTTTCATAATGTATACGGACAACATTTTGTAAAATATTAGCATAAAATAGATACTTGTGACCTATTGTCACCTCTCTTCCATTAATCCGAATGAAACTAAAACTTGACCTGAAACATTTTTACACAACTCTTAAAAAGTATACTGTTCTAAGTCAGCAGCCTGTTGTTCAGTGATTGTCGTTTGTTGGTGTGGTTCATATGTTTTTATCTTTGTGTTATAGTTATTTTTGGGCCCTTTATAGTTTGCTGTTTGGTGTGAATCAACGCTCCGTGATGAAGGCCGTACTTTAACCTATAATTATTGCATATTCAATTTATGCAATAAATATACAATTATAGATTTGTTTTGTTTCATTTCTTCGCCAGAATAATATAAACAACAAACAATTGAAATTTGGCTTATTATTTGTCATGGCATTTATTCAACAATATTCAACAATATCAACCAACAAACAACCAACATCAACAAACTGGCCAACAAGTTAAAACTTGATGACAATTGGTCACTGAAGGTAAAACCAACAGTAAATGCATAATAATTTCTAGCTGCTGGGCAGATCCATAACAGCTCAATGAACAATATTTGAATAAATCACTGCCAAAATTGGCATTTTATTGAACTCTCAATCAAATGCTAATCCGCCATGACAATTGAATAAGCAGCATAAATTAAACGAAAATATATCAACTAGTTGTTATTCATTTCAACATACAACAAATATAAACAAACATCATTCATGCATCGGATAAACAGAATTATTTGGTATATTATCAAATTGTTCTAAAGCAGTTTGAAAAGAATTCAAAACTATATCATTGCCAATAAACGATAAATGTACTCCATCATGACTAACCAAAGATAAGAGTTTGACTTCAAAATCAAAATGAATTATAGTGTAACCCCCAGTTTTAATTAAATGTGATTTAACTCCCCTATTTGTACGTTTCCTGGTTGCATCCATTGCTTTTAAATCTTTTGAACATCTTCATTTCAACCTTGGTGATATGCTTGAAAAATAATTTAACTTCCATTCACCATACGTCCAACTATATCTAGCATGAATTAAATTTAAAATAAAAGTTTTTACACAGTTTACAAGTCTAATTTCATTGCCACCACAGTGAAGCAAAACAGCATCTGGTAAACCCCCACCATGTATCACATTCTCTTCTATTGGTACAAAATTATATAGTGACATACCGGAAATTCCTGCCCACATCAACTTGTATGTAACTGTAAGTCATCTGTTAATGTTTTGACAACACAATGTTCATCATCATTATCATTTGAAGTCCACATTTAACTTGTCGAACAACCAATTTGATCCTTCTTAGAAGACATAATTGTAACAAAAACTTTAGAATTAATATCATCAAATTTAATATCTGAATTTTTTTAAACATGATTATCAGTTTTGTGATTTCTCTAATTCTCATAAATCCAAAAAAGGCCTAAGCAAATCCTCCCCTAAACATTTACAAACATTGAAGAATTAATTCAAGTTGTTTTAATACATCAACAGAAATAGGTTTTCTTTTACTTTTTTACCTTTTAACATTATTTTCAAAATAAATGATTTGCTATAATCATTTCAATTATTCATTTTCAACTTATGATTAATTCCTGATAGATATGTTTTTGAAGGTTATAGGAATAACTATTTTTGAAAGCTATGTAAATTAATTGTATGATTAACAGGAGGTGGCCAACTTTCCTCTATTCGAAAACAGGTCAGAAATTTATGAATGAATAGATGCATTTTCATACACATCCATTGTATTTGAAGAAACAGATTGCCTTAAAAGTTTAGTCACTTCATCTTTAAAAGGTTCCAGAACTCCACTGGAATTGGATGTGGAAAATCGCTGTCAAGTGGTGCAGACATTGAAATTTCTGAAAATTTGCACGAGATAATGCATCAGCAATTGCATTGTCCTTTGACAAAATGTGAACAGCTTTAAACTGAAAATTACCAATTAGTGAACAGTGAATAATTAAACTAAAAACGGACGAAACTAGTTAATATTTTCTTGACATTTTGTTTAAAACATTCACTACTGCCAGGTTATCAATGGGAAAAAGTATGTTTCTTGTATAATTTATCAAACCAGTGTTATTGGAATGATTTCAAAATATGTTATATCTTCAATTATTTCTGAACTATTACATTCTTTATGCCACTCAATTGACCATTAATATAAATTGCACACCCTTTACCTTATTCACCAGCAGTATCTGTATATAGTTCAAAATAAAAATTTGATATCCATCCTATATCATTTAAATACGAAATCCTATTATACTGTTCCAAAAATAATTTCCATATCAATAGATAAAAGTGAAACAGTTTTGACACTTTGTCCATGGTCGAATACAACTAAACGCTCTTCCAGCAGGTATAGCCTTCGTGCAGAAAACTAATGAACCACATATTGACTGCAATTCTTTTAACGTTACTTTTTTCATGGCTTATAAATTATTAATTCTGTTTAAAAGTTCTTCAATCTTTTCATGTGGAATTTAAACAAGCATATTAACAGTATCAATTGTAAGACCCAGATATTCAATCAGTGTAGTTGGACCTTCATTTTTTTTTTTTTTTTTTTTTTTTTTTGCAAGTGAGACTACAATATCTTTGCAAATTTCATCATTCTGAAACATCAGTTGTTCACATTCATCAGAATCTGATTAGCCAACAATATTAAAATTCTTCCAAATAGTGGTCTATATTATTTAAACCAGACTTATTTTTAAAACCAATTCAAAAAGGCTAAAAACTTCTCAAATTTAGTATATGAAATTGAGCAGCCCAATGTCATTGCCTCGTCTATGTAGTATTCATTTACAATTTTAAAACCAAGTTAGTCAAAATCTCATGTATAAACCGGAAGTAATCAACAGCATTATCAAATGAAGAATATTTAACAGAGGTAAACCTTTCATCGATGAAGTCGTTAACGCTGCTCCATGGCTGATATGATAAATGGGTAATCAGACGAAAAACCTGGGTTTTTTTTATTTTGTTTTTTTTTTGTTACTAATCCAATATGAGAATATCTAAGATTAGATATTGGTCTCTTACAAAGAGCACCTGCTATTCTTCATAACGATATTTCAGATTCAATCTTACATTTAGCTCCAATAGGATATGTCAAAACAGATTTTAATTTTTTGATTCAAGTGGAAATCTTGGTCAATTATGATTCAATCTAAATCCAAATTTAAAACCAATAAACAAAATTTGTTTGTCCTGTTCATTAGGATAATCTTAATTGTTCAATATTAATAGGTGAATGTCCCTTCTTCCAAATATCATATTTATCCTTTGACAATTCTGAAAGAAAAGTTAACTATATGTCATTTGATTAAATCTAGGGACGAAATACCTTGTGTTTATTGGTGACCTATATCTTTTTGTTGAACAAATGAAAGCCTGTTTTGTCGAAACTGGTTAGACATATGAGATCTATTTTGGATAAACACTGGTGGCATCAATGATCCCTTATGATAACCTTGGTTACTTTGTAAGCTATCAAATCTAACACATAAGACTGGATGTTGTAATGAACATTTCATACAGTTATGTCTGTAAAACACTGAGATTTCTGACAATAACCTTTAAAGTTATAATCATAACAATGTCTTTGTAAGTTAGCCTGGCAGACTACAGGATTAGGTGTGCCTTGCGATCCCTTTACAATGAATTTCAACCAAAGAAAGCCATCAATCTCAGACAAAGATTTAGAGTGTTTTAGTGATACACTTAATCTAAATTTTCCATTATACGGGTAAACTCTGTCAAAATGTGCATCTGATATAAAAACTCTTATGATTAACATGTATGTAAACAAGTCTTGTGCTAAGCTAGCATGTTTTTGAAGAAGTATTTTAGAAAAAAACTTCAAATGCTTCAGTCCATAATTCAATGTTATTTATTGTATTGTCCTTTGAAGGGTAATGAGAAATGACAAGCATTCCATTTTTTAACCATTACACTTTGTTTCTGGTCCAAACTACTATAATATTGACTATTTTGTTGAAGAAGAGTACCAAAATCAACATTTTTACAATTCCAAATTTTCTCTGTTATTTGCTGAGAAATAATTATGTTAATTTCATTAGAACATGGTATAAACAAAGTACAGTAGTATTTAAAGTATTACCCGGTTGAGCGTGAACTGCCGTAGTTGTCAGTTGTTTCTGAGGTGGAGGTTGATTATTGGGCTCCACAAGTTGATCTGGTTGTTGAAGCTCGGGCGCTGCACGCCTTCTTTTTCCGTGTCTTCCTCTGTTTACCACTCGGACAACTTCCTCAGGAACGGGTACCTGTTCTGGTGCTGGTAATTCACGAGGAGCAGGTCGTTGAACTCCAACGTTGTTTACCCTTGGTCTTAATCTCCGGCTTACTTCATTTCTTCTATTCTTTTATAAAATGAAGTCATTATAAGTATATTGTTTTTATAAATATATAAAGATGTTTTAATTTATGAAACATTACATTGATGCCTCGGCTGCATATAGATAAAATGCTCCGTACCTAAAATATATACTATTATAAATGTGTATATACTGTACGCCTCTTAAGACATCTATAAGTGTATAATAACCAGCAGTAATTTGAACGGCAGTTGTAAATGCCATTACATTTGTAATAATCGTGTGTTCCATAACATCATAACAGGTATAATATCATTATCAATTTATTGAATCAAATTTAAAGAAAGCTTTATATGCACAATAACATGCAGCAAACTAAACAGCAGTTGTATTTATAATTAAATAAATGCCGTCACATTTGTAATAATCGGGCCTTCCGTAACTTGAATAACCGGTATTTCAGTGTCAATTTAGTACCTGAATTATATGCAGGTAAAGAACGTAAATTAAAATAAGCGTATATTTGTCAGCAAGCTTACACAAGGATTTCATAGCTAATTATACATGAGTATATTTATTGCTACTATGGTAAAATAGAAACAAAAACTTACCGATAAAAATACCTTGTTAACGAACTGTGAATTAAATGCAACAACCACAAGTAAATGAAATTGAATGGTCATAAATAAGCACATATATATATATAAATCTAATTAAAGTGACATTAAACAATTCATTAATTTAATAATGAACGTGACGAGAAACATATAACTATACGAACACATGCGAACACGTGTTAAATTTAAAGTTACCCGTTTTACTTTATCGTCACAGAATTTCAACTCACAGGTAAAAAAAGGTTTGCTCTTTAAATATAAACCAAATTATTATAGTGAATTAAAATGAATAAAAGGAAACATATCTAAAGTATAACGGATAAACTTAACCAACTTATCTTATTTACGCTCTGGTCCTATCCTTGTGCAATTCTGTTGAGAAATAATCATTGAATGAAAATTGAGCGGGAACACGTGTTTATATATGACAAAAGTCCACGAGGCGCTTCAAAGCATATTCTTTCGTATGTTTAAATATATGGTTGTAAAGATTTAAATGGCAAACCGTAAACAATGGACTGACTGTACAATCGAAACTCAATAAACAAATACATGTATTTTGAATGCAATAAATCAATTTAATTATTAGATCATTAAATTTTATTATTAACTTTTAATATATTGTGACTTGGATGGAGTGTTGTCACATTGGCACTCATAGTACATCTTCTGGCTTATATATGTATTCAGTTTTACCTATATTTGATCACAACTTCATGGTAAACTTCTAAGACTGATCACACTGTCACATTTCAATAACGAACACTAAATTTTGGGTCAAAACCGTACTTAAACATGGTCAAACATAGTAATCTTTTAATAAAGAACTTGTGTACTTAGTTTTAAGTCGATTTGACTTACCTTACAATTTTACAATGATATCTTTAGAGAAACCACACAATTTATTTAAGTTGATGACACTACAACTTCATCATAAACTACTATGACCAAAACATTTATCCTAAAAAGAGACAGATGGATGGACGGACGCAAAGACTTTTAGATATAATGACCATCTTATTTCGTCGACGGGGAATAACAAAACCAAAGTCATGAATTAAGCAGCATGTCAGTTTTGTGTCAATCAACATAAACAAAATCTTGAGATTTGCAGACATAAAGTATAATGGATAAGTACAAATAGTATTTTAAAATTGTTACAAGAAATTAGGTAAAACCATATTATCAAAGTCTACATAAGTTCATTAGTGACCTCACTCTAATGCTAAGTCTGTTTCAAACCGTTCCAATAAACACCGATACAATGTGGCAGCTTCAAACGCATCTGTTGGTAAACCAAGTTTCAGACCAAATAAACATAGCTCCTTAAGTATTCGTTTCAGGTGTCGATAAGAAACAATGCAGTGCTGATTTTTTGCTAAAAGTGCGAGTATTTCCATGTTATCCAACCCAATTTCAAAATAAACCCTTATGTGTTTGACCATTCTGTAACTTTGAAAATGATACATTAAAGCGCCGTACCATTTGAGCATGGGCTAAACGAGAAGAAGTTCAACTGGAAACTTTGTCAGAATTGGTCAAAACAATCAGGTCTCTGATAAAACGGCGCATTTATAAGTTGAAAAACTGTGTGAATGATCGACCAAAGTCCGTTTTCAGAGACAAAGAGGCTGTGAAATGTCTATCATCTCTTCATGATTAGTATGTTGTTGTTCCTGCGGACAAAGCTTCAAATAATATTGTCTTTGTATGTAAATCGTATTTCTTGTAAAAGAATTAGGAATAAATGAGCACTCAGGTAATCCCACATACAAAAACATATCATTTGACAAAGATGAGATTTTGGCGAATCATAAGTCCTTCATGGCTTCAATGAACATTGCATTGAACAACAAATCGGAGGACTTGCCTTGTTTGTATTGGATATCTAAACTTCACAAAATTCCGTACAAACAACGGTACATTGCCGGCTCATCTGCATGTTCCACTAAACAATTGTCCATTAGATTGACTAAAATTTTGTCCGCAGTGAAAGAGGGTCTTCAGAAATACTGTGAAACTGTTAACTCGCGTAGTGGTATTAACCATATGTGCATTCTTATAAAAACTCTAAAGAACTTCTGGATAATTTTAAATCTCGGTTTTTTTCTGAAATCAGTTCTATCAAAACATTTGATTTTTCAACCTTGTATACCACCATTCCCCATGTGAAATTGAAAAACCGTTTAAAAGAAATAATCCACAATGCTTTTCAACATAAAAATGGTACCATACGCTATACATTTATTAATTTGGGATACCATAAGGCATATCTTGTTAATAGTGAACAAAAGGGTAAAACATGCTACACAGAGGAACAAGTGACCAGTATGCTAGAGTTTCTTATTGACAACATATTTGTTGAATTTGGAGGTAGACTTTTTCAACAAATTGTCGGCATTCCTATGGGAACGAACTGTGCCCCTCTCCTTGCCGACCTCTTCTTATTTTCATATGAATCGGAGTTCCTTCAGACATTTGTCAAAAACAAGAAGATCAAAGAAGCCAGGTTATTTAATTTTACTTTCAAATATATTGATGATGTTCTTTCCATTAACAATCCGAACTTTTCTGATTGGGTTCCATTAATATATCCACCAGAACTAAAAATTAAAGAAACAACAGACACGGCTTCCTCCGCCTCATTTTTAGACTTATACCTCGAATTTGACATACACAGTCATCTCAGTACCAGAATCTATGACAAACGAGACGATTTTAATTTTGAAATTATCAATTATCACCTGCATATGGGATATACATCTCCCAACTTATTCGGTATTCAACAGCTTGCAGCTCCTACTCAGACTTTGTAAAACGTCACCAGTGTCTGAGCAGAAAGTTGATGAACCAGGGGTGTGTCAAAGAACGTCTCGTCCTTTTTCTAAAAAAGTTCATCGGGAGGTACCAAGACCTTGTTGATAATTATTCCGAATCAACTTCACAAATAATACACGATGGTCTTGAAGTATAGATTCTGCGTACTGACGTTGTTTATCATCTTAATAACGTGTTGTAGTATTCTTTTATTTGTCTTTATTAATATTACTTTAACTGTTAAGTCTGTTTTTTGAGATATACATTTGACGTGCCTCTATACTTATGTATCCCGTCATACTTTGAACGACAAAATTATTTTATTTATTAATATTACTTTTACTGTTAAATCTGTTTTTTGTGATATACATTCGATGTGACTCTGTACTTATGTATCCCGTCATACTTTGAACAACAAAATTATTTTATTTATTAATATTACTTTTACTGTTAAATCTGTTTTTTGTGGTGATATCCATTTTACGTGACTCTCTACTTATGTATCCCGTCATACTTTGGACGACAAAATTATTTTTTGTCTACCTGTGCGAATTTCAAACGCGCAATTTTACGCCAGTACTTAAAACTTTCTATTCTTTATGGGTGGATTTTACAGAGATAAATAATATCGTATAATAAAAAAGCAAAATGAGGATGTTAAATTTGATGTATGCCTTTTTGTGCTTCTTCGTTACATTTGTTTGTTTTTATAGTGATTAAGATGATAACACAATGTTGACTGCAGTGCCCCTATTTTTTACATTTTTACCTATTGTGTCTGTTTGTTTTGTACACGCATCGTTGTCAATATAATGGAATTTGATGCGACTGTCATACAAGTGATAGGTTTAGCTAGCTATTAAACCAGGTTCAATCCACCATTTCCTACATAAGAAAATGCCTGTACCAAGTCAGGAATATGACAGTTGTTATCCATTCGTTTGATGTGTTTGAGTTTTTGATTTTGAAATTTGATTAGGGACTTTCCTTTTAGAATTTTCCTCGGAGTTCAGTATTTTTGTGATTTTACTTTTTTGTAAGCTCACAATATATTATTTTGTATGCACAATATATCAAAGTTGTGCGCACAATATATTATTTTGTGCACACAATATATATATTTTTTTCTTTACATGTCCCTAACGGGGCTCCGTAGAAAAGTGTTGTTATTTATCCTTGAGTGATACATTTTATAAAAAAATATATCATACATTTAAGTGTATGGCTATTTCTAAACTCATATGAACATGGTTACTGTCATCACTTTGCGAGCGTTTTCGACGGGTCAGCTTTTGATTGTCTCATGAGACCCGTGGTAGCATGCAATATTAGTTTAACGAAGAACAATTCTTAATCGAAAAAATGCCGAAAAAATATTTCATCTTGGATATTCATGACATACTATATAGCTGCTTCTAAATATAGTCTAATATTCTACTCTATGCCAATACTCGTCCTCATTTGATGAAAATCAGCATCTGTTTTGGGAAAACTACGAAAATACAATTCCTCTGCCTCCGCCAAATTATAGGCCTCAAAGAGACGGCTCTATAGAGATATTTTTTTTTTACATTAAAACTTATTTACGTTTTATTAGATAACAGCTTTATCTGACAAATTTGGTGTGCTATAAAAACAAATAGTTTTTATTTTTTCATTTTCTGTAGATACTGCTCTCAAATAATTTTACATTTTGAACTGACAGTCATGTGGAGTGAATATTCTTTTTGAACTCAAAACTTTGTTTACAACACGTATTAATTTGGAGACACCAATTCATTTAATGATAAGACTTTGCAATACTTTTTGAGATAACATCTTCTTCGTCTTAATTGGTCTGACTTTTGTCTGCAATTTTTCATGTCAATACTCTTATCTGGGCTAGATTTTATAAAAGTATTATGCATTGAAAGGGGAAAAGGGGTTATCTACGTTGCTTTCAATTGTGTCTTCTTTCTTTAAAAAAAAACACAAGTTGATTCCTGTGTTCTGTGGATGGAAATTGCTAACATTATATGACACTCAGTCGTGTGCACAGGATATTTACTATATACCTCCAAACTGTTTTGCAAGACATGTAAAAATACAACACACTTAACAAAAACCCAATTAAGACCATATTGTTATTTTCAACTTATACCTTGATCTGAATTAGTACCATAAATATATGTAAGATTCAAAAACATAAAACTAACATATTTAATAGGTAAAGGATCGTCTAAAATGTAAGATTATTTCTGTTAATTGCCATTTGAACCAAGCACATTAAGTTCCTTTATACATAATATTTCCCAACGAACCAGCTTTTTATCATTCTAATGAATTTGCTGTTCAATCACCAGAAATTTCATGCGATTAAAGTCAAAATATTGAGGTTCGACTGTCTGAAGTGTTTGCTTACGGGGATATCGATATATTATATTGTTAGAGAAACGTTTTAATAGATTATGATAATGGGTTTAGAAAGTGTTGTTATATAAAAATGGGAATCGTAGATATAAATTTCTTGTTTTGGGTTATAATAATTCTTATTTTGTGAAGAACCTCAATGATTTTATCAAAAAGTACACTGAAGATGATATTATCAAAATGCTGGACTTTTTTGTCGACAATTAATTTGTTGTTAAGTGTGGAGGATTGATATTTTAACAGACAGTCGGTATTCTAATGGGTACTAATTGTGCACCCCTACAGGCCGATTTGTGTTTGTTCTCGTATGAAGGAAAATTCATTCAGAACCTTCTAAAAGACAAAAAGAAAAAAAAACCTTGTGAAATTCTTTAATTTTA